GTAATCAGATTTAAATATAAATTCATAGGGGCTGAGAGGAATTCTCTCAGGCAATTACAAGTATTCTAAAGTGTTCAAGTGCAAATTACATAAGAACAAAATATGTAAAATGCATTGGTACATATTATTTTTCATTTACTTCAAGTTAGATAATGTGCTGCTGCGTGTGACCTATTTTTTCGGTTGTATTTTCCTTCATTATTGCCCCCAAATAAAGGCAGGTTAAGGAAATTGAGTGACAAAACAATACAAATAATATATCATATGGTTGAATAACATTATTAAATTTAAGATTTGGACAAATATAACTCAACATTAACATCAACAACTTTATCTGAAACCATTTGTGGTTGGCGGTTGATAAACCCAAATAGAAAGCAATATAAGATTGAGGAAAATGAAAAAATAAAATGAAAAAAATAAAATAAAATAAAAATGAAAAATAAGAGAAAAATAACTTAGAAGAAAAAAGTAAATTAGAGAGAAAGATAAATAAATAATTAAATAAATAAATATTGGGAGCAAGGACTGAAAAGGGTGTCTGAAACATAGGAAAAATCAATGGTTCAAATTTTCATAAAATTCAAGCATCTAGATAAAAAATCATGGACACATGAAAACCATTCTCTTGATTTTTTTCCTGCAGTCATCACTTATCTAAAGTTCACCTAGTCCCTTATAGAAATTAGTACGGTTAAAGGGTGCGACTTTTCTGGTTAAAAGAAAAGAACTAATTTCAAAACAGATCAAAAACACTTTCCTCCCCGAATAAATTTCTATCAAAGCAAAATTTTATTTCATTCTGCATTTCCCAAATAAAAAGCTTGTCATATGCATAGAATTATATTCTGTGTTGGCTGTTAGTGTCAAATTGTCCCAAAACCATGAACTATATTATATCCTGGTGGAAGTTTGCTAGAGTTATTATACCCATGGTTGTCAAACTCGCAAGTTTACACTTCAGGAACCCCTCAACGATCCCGTTTCTGCTATAACTCGCTTTTGGCCCTCAGATGGTAGAAGCGACGAGTTTTTTGGCAAACTCGTACAATCGTACGAGTTTAACAATTAAACCAGAAAAAAAATCCGTTGACCCGAATCTTGACCCGAAAAACCATTACATAAATGGGTTTTTTTTAGCAAAAAAACCCTAAATCACCTGGTTAGTTTCAGCCACCACCATTACATATCATGGGAGACGACTAGGTGACTCGCGAAGACGCCTCAAGCCATCGTCTTCTCTACTGCTTGGTCGTCTTGCCCTCTTCCGTTCGTAGCTTCTCCATGTACCATCTCCGTCGTGCTTCGCCGTCGCTCTGCTCTGTCTCAATCTCTTCTCCGTTTCGTTTCATCTTTTTTTTTTGTTGCCTCTGTTTCGTTTTTTTTTTTCTTGGCCGCTTGCTGTTTCGTTTGGTTTTTCTTTTGGCCTCTGTTCCGTTTTATTTATAAATTTGGGATAAAAAAATCATTTTATAAATGAAACCAAATTAATAAAGCAAATTAATAATTTTGCCTCTATTTGATTTTACAAAGAAAATTAAAAAATCATTTATAAATCAAATTAATACTTTTTGTCTCTGTTTGCTAAACCAAATTAATACTTCATCGAATGATAAACTAAATCAGATTTATTTGATAAATTAAATTACTTTTTTCCCCTCATGTTGCCTCTGTTTGATTTTATATTCATCAGAAAAAAATTAAATTAATCCAAATAAAAATTTATTTGATAAATCAAATGACTTTTTTTTGTTCTTTTTTTGAGACATTATGTGATTATGACTATGACTTTATGTGTTTGAGACATTATGTGATTATGACTATTGTATGACATTATTTTGCTAGTTGGTTGAATTAAATTTGTTTATTATATTACTTTATATGCATATAAATATCAACATCAACATCAACAACACCTTTATCCCAAATTAATTGGGGTCAGTGGTAGATGAACCCACATGAAAGATACAAAACGGTTGAAAAAAAGTAAAAAAAATAAATAAAAAAATAAAAAATAAAAAATAAATAAATAAATAAATAAAAATACACAAATAAAATAATAAAATAAAATAAAATAAAAATATATGTATATATAAATAAATAAAAGTAAAAAAGAAAGGGACAAGAAGAAGTGGGGGAAATGAAGGGGAAAAGGACTAAAAAGGGACCATCTGGAACATAGGAATAACAGCGGGTCTAACCCTCCACCATACTTATAGCTTTTCTCCATTCCTTTCTAAGACATACTGTCCGCCAATCTATATCCCACTCCATTAAATCTTGTTTTACTACTTTCCCCCAAGTAAGCTTCGGCCTACCTCTGCCTCTTTTTGTGTTTAGCTTTTGGTAACAAACTTCTGTTCTTACAGGAACATCCATGGGTCTTCTCATCACATGCCCAAACCACCTCAATCTATGTTCTCTCATCTTCTCGGCTACCGGTACTACTCCGACCTTTCGTCGAATATCTTCATTTCTTATCTTATCCATCCTTGTGTAACCACACATCCACCTTAACATCCTCATCTCTGCTACTCCTATCTTATGCTCATGTTGCCTATGTGCTGGCCAACATTCCGCTCCATATAGCATTGCCGGTCGTACTGCCGTTTTATAGAATTTTCCTTTTAACTTCAGGGGAATTTTGCGGTCACACAAAAATGCAGATGCACTACGCCATTTCATCCACCCTGCTCTGATTCTGTGATTTACATCCTCATCAATCTCTCCACCCGTTTTGTAAAATGGAGCCCAAGTATTTAAAAGCATTTTTTTTGGGTACCTCTTGACCATTTAGATGCACAGGTTCTTGGTCCTCATCTTGTACCAGAGAAAACTCACACTTCAGATACTCAGTCTTGCTTCGACTTAATGTGAATCCTCTGGATTCCAATGTGCTTCTCCACAATTCAAGTTTTCTATTAACACCCTCCTTGCTCTCATCAATAAGCACAATATCTTCTGCAAAAAGCATACACCATGGCACTTCCTCTTGAATATCTTTTGTTAGTTCATCCATAACTAAGGCAAAGAGGTAAGGACTTAGAGCCGACCCTTGGTGTACACCTACCGTGATAGGAAAATAACTTGATGATCCGTTACAAGCTTTTACACATGTAGTAGCCCCATCATACATATCCTTGATTGCCTTTACATACTTTAATGGAACCTTTTTCTTCTCCAGGACCCACCATAAAACTTTCCTTGGAACCCTATCGTATGCTTTCTCAAGGTCTATGAACACCATATGCAAGTCCTTCTTCTTTTCTCGGTATCTTTCCATTAGTTGTCGCATCAAGAAAATGGCTTCCATGGTACATCTTCCTGGCATAAATCCAAATTGATTTACAGAAACCTTGGTATCTCTCCTCAAGCGATGTTCAATAACCCTCTCCCACAACTTCATAGTATGACTCATTAGCTTAATGCCTCTATAGTTTGAACAATTCTGTATATCTCCCTTGTTTTTGTAGATAGGCACAATCATACTTTTCCTCCATACATCAGGCATCTTATTCGTCTGGAGAATCTTATTAAAAAGATTGGTCAACCATTTTATTGCCACATCCCCCAGGCCTCTCCACACTTCAATAGGGACACCATCAGGCCCCAAGGCTTTATTAGTCTTCATCCTCTTTAAAGCCTCCTTAACTTCATGTGTATTAATTCTGCGTACAAATCTTCTATTCATATCATCATATGCGTCCTCTAAGTCCACCTCGCTTGTATCTCCATCCCCATTAAACAGCTTGTTGAAGTAATTCAACCATCTTTCATTTACATCTTCATCTCTCACCAGAAGTTTTTGATTTTCATCCTTGATGCGTCTAACTTGAGTGAGGTCTTTACTTTTCTTATCCCTTATCCTTGCAAGTTTATAAATACCTCTTTCACCATCCTTGCTCCCAAGATTTTTATACAACTCGTCGAAAACCTTGCCTCTCGCTTCTCGCACTGCTTTCTTTGCATTTTTTCTCGCCATTCTAAACTTTTGCAGGTTCTCTTCACTGGAACTTTTATGCAAAGATCTAAAGCACTCCTTCTTATGTTTAATTGCCTCTTGCACCTCTCCATTCCACCACCATGTTTCCTTTGTATGAAATCCATTTCCTTTGCTTTCTCCCAACACCCTCCGTCCCAAATTTTGAATACACTTAGCCATCTCATTCCATATTGCATTTACTCCTCTATCAAACTCCCAAGGTCCTTCGTGCAACATTCTATCATTGAACTCTCTCTCTTTTCCCTCCTTAAGCTTCCACCACCTTATCCTTGGATTCTGAGCCCTCTTCTTCATTGTACGAGTATGCATATAAATATATATAAATATAATTTGTATCTTATGTTACGAGTCTACGATCGTTACGATTCTGCGATTTACGATTTTGGTTCACCCTTCTGAGTTTGCATAGAAACTCGAGTTTGACAACCATGGTTATACCACACTAGACAAGAATTTTAGAACAATAAAAATAGGTAGACTTTGCATTAAGGAGGGCTAATTTTGTGTCTGTACACTGTACAAATATTCTCCATTTTGCCCCTTTTCATATCTGTTGTTTAATAATCATGAAGTCATTTTGCGAATAATTTTGTGCAGCCCTCGTTGTCTGTAATCATTTGCTACTGGGTAAAACAACATCACATATCATGGTTTTTTTTTTTTTTGAAGCATTTAATGTGTTTAGTCTCTTTATTAAGATTGGTTGTACTCTATACAGTTATATTAATGTGTAATACCGCAAAATTTTTGCATTCTTATTAAATTTCCATTTGAGACATGTATCTTATTTATTGTCTTATTCTCCATATTTGATTCTACATATCTGTAAGTTATAATATGTTTTTTCCCCCTTTATTAATTTTCATGTTTGCACTTTAAAGCAACTTGCATCCAACCAATGTTTGTAGTTATTATTATTCTCATATTATTATTCACATTTTTATCTTAATGTGTCTATAGCCCTAATTCTCTATGTTAATATTTCCTTATTTATCAGCATCGTATGGCAGGATTTGCTGCTATTGAAATTGCCCAAAAGGTCTCCAAGGCTTGGCGTTTGCTGCAAGCGGAATGGAAATATTCTAATAAAAGCAACTCAAACTCGAAGTTTGGCAAAAGGGCCAGGAGAAGGGAAAGAATTAATATTCAGAGTCAGAATAGGGGAGGTGCAGGTTGTAGCACAAGTAGTGCCTTGGAAGCATCTTCATATGGCAATGTAGATGATAGATCATCCAGCCGTTCCATGTCATGGCAAGATGTTTATTCATTAGCTGTTAGATGGAGACAGATTTCTGAGCCTTCTGACCCTGTTGTGTGGGTGAACAAGCTAAGGTATTTCATCTTTGGGCTAAGTATTCTAGCAGACCATATTTATGTATATTGGTGCTTCCGATGTTTTGTTGTTCAGGCATTTGATTATTTTACATGTTTTTCTTTATATTTGGAACATCCATAGATTCTCAATCATCAACTCTACGTTGTTGTGTGCATGGTCTCTGATCTCTCGAATTAATATAATTGTTGATTGTGATAGAAATTATAAAGTCTCATAATCCTAGAGGCATGGACCAGCTAAGCTTGCAAAACTTCAAAATATATTCGAATTCTCACCTCTCTTATTTTCAGTTGGGTTGGGCAAAATGAATTTTTTTGTGAGTTCATTTAGGAACTTGAAACTCAACTCTTCATAGATTGGAGGTATTATCTGTAAGTTGGAAAAGTTGTTGTAGACAAGGTCTCCTGTTCATATAATGACAATTATGGTAGAAAAGCACTAAAAATATTACAACAGTAAATGTACACTTCAAGGGAATAATTCCTTGTCAATCTCTTTTAGTTCACAACCAATGCTAATGTGCTGATTTGAATTCAGTTATTTTTAAAAATAAAAATACCTGATTTCTTGATACTTTACCTTGCACTATCTCATTTAGGTCTTTTGAGTCTAAATTGTTTTACTAATGTGCAGCTTTTCCTATTTTCTGCATAGGTTAACCATGGTCTGTTTGTTACAAATTGATGATCAATTAACATTTCCTTTTGTCTTTCAGTCTTCTCTCCCTCGCCCAAACTCTTTCAAAACATAGATTTGTTTTGATAAAAAAAATTAGTTATATGTAATTTTTAATAGAAATACTTTTAGTGCATAGTTTATAAAACCTCATGTTGATATTTTATTTGTAATTTTTATGATTTATTCAACTAATATTGTATATATGGGTTGTCCCTTTTCTTCTGATTGTTGTAGTTTAGTCCTCGAGCAATTATTTTGTGTATAGCTGGCTTAATTTCTGTCCTTTTTTTCTGGATGCTTTTAATATTTCGTTTGTGTAAGATTTTAAATGTGCTGATAAAAATACAGCATGGCAGTTTTATGTAGCTCTCTAAGTTGATGTATGTTGTTAAGGACTACAGAAAAATTTACAGAAAATTAAGGAATATAAAAGAGGCATAACTGCACTTACCAAGAGAATTTGGAGGACTCAAGTATAATAATAGAAAGAAAACGAATGAAAATGAATATTCATTGGAACTAGAGTGACTTAAAGTATATTTTAACCTCATTATTTTCCACTTTTTGGCCTTTTACTCCCTTGTTGATTGTTTTGCTATGGAAGGGCTATTTAATTTCTTTTATGCTAAAATATATACTGTTTTATGAAAATAGGCTCATAATTATATTGGTCTATGATAGATAAGTTTTTGCTTTTCTTGCTTGCTAGCCTCTTAGCAATATTTGGTTAACTTTCCCAGTTTCTCTTCAGATTATTACTTTAAGAATTTAATCAAATTCAGATTTTGTTTTGGATTTTGAATTTGTTTCTTCACACTGCAGTGAAGAGTTTAATTCTGGATTTGGTTCTCACACACCTATGATTCTGGGACAAGCTAAAGTTGTCCGTTACTTTCCTAACTATGAAAGGTAAAGATCCTGTTTTAATTCTATATTGACAGACTGGATTATGAAAGCTCATTCTTATTAAATGCCACAGAACGTTAGATATTGCAAAGACTGTCATGAAAGAGAGATCATACGTCTACAGCAAAACAGATCAGATCATTCAACTTTCCAAAGACGGGAAATTAAAAGAGGTGATTGGTGTATTATTGACTTAGATTTTGTGCCCTTTTTTTCGCATTGCTTGATTTACTATATACAATACGATGCAACAGGCCTCTACTATGACTTGTAAACCCAACTGTTGTATCTTTGGAAAAACTTTACTTTTCTTTGCTCACATTAGTAATGTACCTTTTGTGCTATTATTTTTCTGGGAGATACAATTTTCTCTGCTTTAAATATTTACTTAAATGGGTTAATGTGCAACTACGACAGAAAGTTGAAATTTTCAAGTCGCATAATTGGTAACATTTCTTAATTCATATGCCTCAAGTCATATAAACTATTGTCAATGATCAACTCTCCTAGAAACTTTGGCTGTTAGGTGATGGACACAAATAACAATGCATTAGATCATTTTTACCATGTACTGAAATCCATCTTTTTATTTAGAAGAATGGCTAATAGAAAGTAAAACTCGTCTGAGGAAAAGTGATAAACTGTGAGAAACTGAGTTGAAGAAGAGAGAACGGTGAGAGATAATTCATGGATTTGGGAGAAAACTTCTTGAACAGGATTCTGGATGATAATTCTGAAAGGTCACTATATAGAGAGGGTTAAACCTTCTTTACAGAAAATAACTGAAAGTAACTGCCTCTACTAACAATGATAACTGTTATAACAGCATCGGCTGTTATAACAGTTAGTGCCGACTCACACTAAGTAACTGATTCATTCAGTTCAGTTCCAATCGAACAATGGTACAGTTGATGCTCCAGTTAGCTCTACCATAGAATACAAAGAGTATTACTCTAATAATGGTGGAGGCAAAGGTAGAACTCTTGACCATTTAGTCATGGAGCCTTTGATACTATATTAAGAACTAATTATCCTAAAATTTTAAGTTGTTAGGTGAAGACAGAAAGATGGTTTTATATCTCTAACCACTGTGAAACATGTAATTTGCAACTTTTGGTTAGTTGTCTTAATTTTCTTAATTAACTGATGGAAATAGGACTTCCCTTCTAAATATAGTTGAAGCTCAAGAGTTTTTATAGTTTTTCTTTGAATAAATACTTCAAGAGTCACTATTGCTTTTGATTGCTACCAATTCTTAATAAATGTTAGTGTGTTTTATAATATAGTTTCAATAATAATATTTCAGTAGTCTATGCTTCTATGAAAATGGAAACTTCATTATTCCATGTGCAGATCATGCATGCAAAATCATGCTCTGATCTTTATAATATTGTTGGTGAGGATTTCTGGTCGGCTACCTGGTGCAACAGTACTGCATTTGAAGGGTAAGCGTGCTTAGTGCAAATAGTGCCTGGGGAACATGTAATGTTTTCAAATGCTTACATCTTGATGTTAATGCTTGTTCAGGAAACAGCTTGAAGGTACACGGATAACACTTTTAAAAAAGTAAGCTAGATGCAAGTCGTCTTGTGAAAATTTAAGTTATTTTGTTCCCCATTTCCCCTTCTTTTTTACTTAACTTTAGCTTTCTTACATGTTTTACTGTGGGAATTGATGAATATTTTTTCAGGGGGAAACATGGTTTCGACTTTGCAATTAGGACACCCTGTACGCCTACTAGATGGGAAGATTATGATGCAGAAATGACATTGGCCTGGGAAGTATGTTATACCCAACAACAACTATTATATTTTTCAGTGGCGGATGTGGCTTGTGTCTGAAAAAAAATGTTTATTTTGCCAATGATCCCATGCTGCTTTTATCATTAAACAATGACTGATACTTCCATGGAATTGTTTAAAAACTTGCTTAGTTGAATATGTGTGTATTTATTTACTATTCAAGTTACTTGGTGAACTGTGACATTTACCTTGTATCCCTATTGTTGTCTGTTAGGCTCTCTGCAATGCTTACTGTGGGGAAAATTATGGGTCTACTGATTTCAACGTGCTTGAAAACGTGAGAGAGGCAATTTTAAGGATGACATATTACTGGTACGACGTTATCAAAATGTCTAAATTATCTTTGACTCTTGGAGCATTTGAAGTCATTTCTGTAATACTATCTGCACTTTTTTTCAGGTATAACTTTATGCCTCTGTCTAGAGGATCTGCTGCAGTTGGATTTGTAGTTATGCTGGGTTTGTTACTTGCTGCTAATATGGAGTTCACAGGAAGCATCTCACAGGGTTTACAGGTAGATTGGGAAGCCATTTTGAACTTGGATCCAAACTCCTTTGTGGAGTCGGTCAAAAGTTGGCTATACCCATCTCTGAGGGTGACAACCTCATGGAAAGACTATCATGATGTCGAATCAACATTTACAACAACAGGGTCGGTTGTTGCTGCCTTGAGCTCTTCTGATGATTAAACACCTTGAAATAATGGCCAGGTGAGTCAATGGCTATTAAGTTATTTTCCTTTTTTTTTCCTTTTTGCGGTGGATTTTCCTTTTCTGTTTATTGTTTAATTTCTGGTCTTGTGCTGCAATTATAGTGGTTTATATAGTAAATTACCTAATGTACACATTGTCACGTGTATTACGCAACAGATGTGTCTGCTAAAGCAAAGTCAATGTATTGATCTGATTTTTGTAGGTCTCTGTATGGTTGCTTAATAATTACATTGCTGGTCTTTTCATAACCTGCTGGAAAATGCAACAGAACTGTTAAAAAAGCATTGACATCAACTTTTTTTATTGATCTTCCTATTGAGGTTTTATCTGTACGCAAGCTGTTTAAATTGTAATCGTACGTTCGCGACTGTACAGTAATGTAACTTAAGGCATTGGATGATTAAATTACCGTTTATCTTGTCTGTCTTTATTTCAATAATCACTACTTGGTCCCTGCCCCACCTCAAAAAAGAGTACAGAGACGTGTACCGTTTTGTTGTATTTTCTTTGTTAAATTCTTTGGAGTGAGAATGGGGTATTCCATTATTCTTGACATCCTTTTATTTAATACGCCCAATCATACATTTGTACCTAAGGGGGTAAATGGGCCAGGTTAGCCCAACCCGGTCTAGCTCGGCCTTTTAGAAAAAATAGAGTAGGCTTAGGCTTATAAAGAAGCATTTTTAACAAATAAGTTATAGGTTAATTTTATTAAACTTGGCCTAAAGCCTTGTAGGCTTGCCTATTTAATTTATTAAAATAAAATAATAAAATAATATTTATTTTATGTGGCAAATTACCAATACCAACTCTAATTTTTATGTGCACCACCGCTTCTCACTCTCGGCTTCGTCTTTTCTTTCCCTTGTCTTGATGGTGGTTTAAAGATTTTTAGATGAATGACATTCTTTTGTAGACTTTATTTCAGTACCCAATAATTGTATTTTTCTTATTTTTTCCATTTCTTCGACTCTATTCTTCTATGATATACATTCTAGAGCTGGGGTATTATGTTGACTCTTTCTTATTTGTCATTTTTTTCTTATGAGAAGTACTAGTGCATGCATGAATGTAACTTTCTTTGCTCTATATAATTATTTTCTTTGCTTAGTATCTACAGTGGGAGGCCTACAAGGCCTGTAGGCTATGTCAGGCTTTCTTATTTGTAAAAATAGGCTGGGCTTGACTTCAAATAAAGTCTTTAATAAGCCAGTAGGCCAAATAGGTTGAATTTTTTTTACGTAGGCTTGGGCCAGGAAGGCCAAAGCCCGGCCCATTTACACCCTATAATCGTACCCTCATCCACTATTTTATCTCCATTTTTTAATTTTTTTTCTGGGTTACAGAATAACTCGCCTGTAAATCATAAGCGCAATTTTAACTGGGCTTTTTTACTTTGGAATTATCTGTTTAGCCCAACCAAAATTGAAGGTATATTTATTGAAAAGTTCTAGCCCAAATTTCTGGTAGAAAATTATATGGACATTAGTCACATAAACACTTAACAATAATGTAAATCACAATTAAAAATAGACTGCATTGATCAAAATAAACTAATACTCAAGGATTGACGTGAACCTTAAGCAAAAATTTAAAATTTAACTAGGCTAGATATGATTTTATATGAAATTAAGTAATGTAATTAACTTACAACTTATTTTTCTGGACCCGTCCCGAATCGGATTAGTTGCGAAGCAATGAACCAATTGGAATATTTTCAAAAAAAAAAAACTTACAACTTATTTTTTAATTATAGTTGTATATCACATAGCTTGTTTAAGAGAAGTTATGTTCTTCAATATTACTGCATAATGTTTTGCATCTTTATTGCTGTTGATGTGGATGTTCAAGCCATGAATGCGGTCCAGGTAAAATCACTGACTGCCTTGAAAGTTTTTTGTGTATTATTTATCAATTACTAGTTTATCTTATTCACGGGGCATTGAACTTCAATGTGATGTAAACATTTAGCTGCCTAACGTCAGATTAGGTGCTCTGCCAGTACCTAATAAAGTTGATGAACGCATAAAACACGCCAAATGATATCTCCTTGTCGAATGCTTTTTTAGTATTATGGTGGTATTAAAAATTGGGTGCGATGATGTATTTTACACTGTGTCTTACCGGTAACATAATATAAATTACAAAATAACTTCTTCTTTTTCCTCACTCTGGTACAACACAAGCTGACGTAACGCATTCTTATTGGCCAGATGTACCTGTGGTATTGATAATTTTTACCGCATCGTCTAGTGTCTTCGAACTCAAACAATGAGATTAAAATTTGATATTACAAGATTGACCTCTAGTGGCATTGCCACTTAGTATTTGAGAAATGAGGCAAGTGCATTTTGAATGCAATCTTTGTATGAATTGTCAAAAGAAAAGATTGCCGAAAGCGAGAGTACAGTTGAAAGAAACAAGAAGATGATGCCTGTGAGGTTTCAAGAATATTAAGCTGTTTATGTACCCAAAAAAATATATATATATATATTAAGCTGCATCTTTGCACCGTCATTCTCACTGATGCGTGAGATATTCTGGAATTAAATACTCTGGTACGATAACAATATCTATAACGTGCATAGGATATCGAAGTATGTTGAGATCTTAAATTCTAAAGTACCATACACCTTCCGAATTCTTACATGTCAATTCCAGATATCATTGTGAAAATACTGATGCAATAAACCTCAATGATTTTCATTTAGTTCATTTCTTTAACCTCTATTATGCCTATTAATTTATGTCCAAAGCAGCATTTCGTAGAAGAATACTTTCACCTTATAATGCTATTTATTCATAGAAAGTACTAAAAAAAAAAAAAAAAAAAAACTATTCTTATGTTACGTGAAGTAAGTTTTCTTCTTACACATTCTTCGATAACCGTGTCATATTTTTTTTTCTTTCTTTTTTCTTTTTTAGGTAGTGGGTTCCACCACTATAACATAATATTTCTTCTCTCATGCAACATTGAGACTATATAAGCCCAAAAAATAAATGTATATAATATAGACTTCCCCTAATAATTATTTTAATTAGTTAATCAAAATAATTATATTTTTCGTCAAATATTTTTTTACTTTGAATATGTAGGAAGATTTTTTAATATGTATAACTCTTCTTCAAATGAAGGTAAACCGTACTTAGTAACCAAAACTCTTATACTTGCCTTACATGCCAATGCAAAAGATCCCAGTTTGTATGTTCCTGCTTCTCACTGCGCTGCAGATAAATCACTTTGCTTAAGTCTCACCCTTCTGGACGCTATCCTGGTTTCTATAAACTGTATTACTTATTACTTTTCTGCCGTGACTTGCCTTTCCCAACTTTCTTCTGTTCCATACTCTTCTCGCATTGAAAGGTCCTTCCACAAAGTTAGCTGTACCTGTGAAACAAACAAAAAAAAGGTGAAGACACTCTCCATTTACCATAGAAATGTGTGGTTTCTCGCTCTTATGTGGATTACTTGTATAATCCTACCCATAACACATGCTCAATAGCATTAACTCACTCCCGTCTCACTTTTGACATAACATGACTACCCCTGAACACAGGAAAGAATAAAAACTTTCCATACATCAAACAGTATAGAACTCACCTTTCATTGTTCTCCTCGTCTTCTTCCTCAAGTTGATGGCATCAATTTTATTTTCGACCATGTAATTTTTCGGTTCATCGTGTATGCTATAACAACTTGACTTGGCTGAAGCAAAGAGCCACGTGGCGTTCATCTGCTTGTTAAGCATACGTGCCGCGTAGTATGGGATCTTAAATCCCTTTGTCTTCCGAGACCCAAAGCGGTTGCTAATGAACATTAAACAATCCATCAAGCTCTCCTTAGCGAGCCCTTTCATGTCATAAGCTTGTGATCTTCTCCACAAACTCTTACTGTGAAGACACGCCACATTCGATAGGCACAAAGCTCGAGTGGTATCGCTGAGAGCAGCTTCGGGATTTCTAAGAAGCAAGTGACACTGAGCTCTGTTGCTATGAAGCACAATTCTCTCTTTCATAATTTTTAATGGGCAAAATTCCAAAGCCTCTGTGTACTTCATCACAGCCTTTTCAACGTTCCCTGACCGAAATTCCTGATTTCCTTCTTGTTTCAAAACACCAGCTAAGATTTCTTTTTCTATGATTTCTTGTTCAGTCATTAAGCTTTCTCTCTTGACTCTGTCTACCTTCAAATCCCATAACTCTTCTAATGTTCTCTTGGTTCTTTCACTCTTCAAATTCAACTTACAAAACTTGATTTTGTGGTAATCCTGTAACAGAACCTGCATGATTGTTTGTCCTATTTTCTGTTTCCCACCTATGCTTCTGAGCTCAACCAAATCAACAAGAACTGGAGCAGCAGTATCTATTACTTTATATCTTGTAACTGGATCTCTGAGTAGTTGCAGAAGACTATCAATAGCCATGTGTTTCCGATCATCTGAGGATCTTGAGACATTACAAAGATTCACTATCACTTCATGCAAATGTGCTATACTTTCCCTCCCTATTTGGGTGTGACAGAGAGTTCTGAGAAGCCCTATTCCAGCAGGTGAAGTTGGGTTTGTTAGTCCACCCCACATTCCACATAAATCCTTTAAGAATTGCTTCTTGCAGATTAATCTGAGAGATCTTTCTTTACATGCAAAGCAATCTAGAAGATAGAGAGACCAACACTGAAGCTGACTAGCCCATTCCTCTGCCTTTCTATTCTCTAGTTCCAAGCCTCCATGCCCTCTTGTTAACAAATTCCTATGGTACTCCAACCTCTCTGATTCATTCAAGCCAACAAACTTTTCATATACCTCGTCTAGGCACATGGAAGCTATATGAATGGCTGCTTCTATGACTTCACCTTCGTGTTCAGCAACGGCTTCAAAAGTTTCTTCATGGCTGGCAAGATGACCAAGTGCCCGAAGTGCAACTCTCTTTTCAATCCAACTCATCTTACCTCGAAGCAGTTCCATTAGTGGCTGAACCACGTTGGACTTAACTGCTTTTTCCGCAATCTTAGCTTTGTTCATGGTATAGGAACCAATGATGTGTGCTGCATAATAAGGGATATATATGTTCTGAAATCTAAGAAGCCAATCTTTGTGCGTGACGCCTTTCTGAATTAATTTGGCCATACATCTAAAGATGCCAAGGGAAGGAAATTCTGTATCGTTTGGTTTAGTTATAGCGATTTTCCAGAGACTACTTAACACCAAGATATGTTCTTGGTCGTCTCTGAGAGACATTTGTTTGAAGTAGTGGGCTATTTTCGCTCCCCTGAGGGAAGGAACTGTTTCAGACATGATGCAGAAGAAACAAGAACAGTTGGTGCATGTTGGGGTAGCAGGTATCAGATTATGACTAGTCTTGGTGGTTGAATTTTCTGGGAGTTGGCACTCCATGGTTGATTGAAAGAAATTGGAAGTTTTAGGGTAGTGCTTGGGATGAATGAGACACGCATATGAAAGATTAATTAAATATTGGTTGGAGTTAGTTGTGGCGCACCTTGCTGCTCGTGACACGATAATAAATTGAGTATAGCACATGTAACACAGTACAGACAGTGAGTATCATAAGCGTCACCCTCTCCTTAATCACCTTTGTTTCAATACATGGGAAGCATGATTGCTTCAAAGAGAGGATGAGAAGTTGAAGAAAATTCTTCTTCAACTTTTTTTTTTTTTTTTCCTGGGAAGAGAAGAGAAAGCTAAGTTTTAAAATCAAATTTGACAGAGAATATTTGATATATGAAAGGGTAAGTGCTTCTCGAACAAGATCAAGTGCAACCATGTTTATTATTTTGGGTCCTGAAAATTGATCCATACATGCTATAACAGAAGAGAAAAATGTTTCTTACACAACATTTTTTTTTACAGCACATTCCTTTTCTTTCTTTTTTTTTTTTTTTTGAATAAATCACTCTTATTCTTATACGGAGTCAATTTTGTTCGGAGCCGATACAGAATTAAGACTTTAAATTCTTTTCAAAAATAATACTAGAAATGATCGAACAAATACTTTCATCCTTACTTACTCAGCTCCGTAAGTTAACAAAAGGGTGTGAATCTCTTATTTTATTATCTAAAAAGGAAATAGGTAATAATAATGTAATAAAAATGGTGTTGGTATGTAAATAAAATTGAATAGAATAGCTGAACTAATAGATGGCTAGGGAACAAATAAAATTAAAACAGATCAGCTAAACCTTCTTTACCTGTTGACTTCAAATGAGGATTGGACCACAAATCTACTCCTAACATGCAATAGACATTTGCAGACACATTGAAACGAGTTAACAAAAAAGTTATAATTAAGTAAAGCAAAAACGTTGATTTGAAAAAGGGAAAAAAGGAGGAGGAAGAGATGAAAGACAACCAAGCTAGTTATGACTAAGATCTCTTGGGAATTAAGCATAAGAGTTCAGTCTGGTCCCCTCCATAACAAGCCAATCAATGTCCTTGTATTCAAACTCCTCTGCTGAATGTATGATGGAGTCATCCAGCTTCCAATTCAAAAAGTGACTAATTCGGATAAATAATACATATGCAAGTACAAGTGGGGTGGTCTCAAGAAAATGCGGCTGCCGAAGACATAATCTATGTGAAATGCGTATGCTAATATGCTAGTACTTTAAAAATTTTAATTAAGTTACATGGGTTTAAATGGAACTCTGCCTTAATTTAAACAAAATCCATTTGCAACGTCTTTTTAACCATGTGGTTACGGGAGAGTTGAAAATGTACCATGACACGAGTTTGTTAAAACTAAATTGGCATATGTTGCTGTAAACATAGGTACTGATGAAGAAGGAGGATGCCCAAGTTGAGTTTATTGCTACGCGTGCACAATATTGATTTTGTGGGCACGTGATCTACAACGCTGCCAGCTCCGCGTGATTCACGAAAACCCTATTTTTAGATTTAACATAATTCAAAAGTTTCCTGAAGGATTAGGTGGCATGCAAAGGAAAGTAATTTTGTAGGATTTTCGACCATACGCTTGTAAGGGCAAAGGGTATTTGATACTTGTTAGAAAAGGCATCAATCATAGCCGTTCAAATCGATTTATATAAGCTTAAACAAATGCTGCTTGGTGTTGGATCACATTTCAAAAGCCTGAAAGCATATAAGGAGCAGGACTATTGAAGAAAGCCCAACTCCAAACGATACAGTACGCAGATTAGACTGACAGAGTATAAGGTATAGCTTAATATTTCAAAAGTTAAAAGGGCCTTCAAGTGAATATTGCCCTAAGATTTTTTTTTATTTGGTACGGTACAGAGCGTTGAAAGTTCGGCCTTAACTCATTGTTCACACCGAGCATGTGAAGCCCATTATTTTATTTTAAATAAGTCCAGTCTATTAGGTCAAAGAGGAAAGCCCATTCATTATTTATGAATATATTAGACAACTAGACGGAACCAACTTCCAATGATCAAAGATACACAGGCTTGAAGCCTGTAATGTTCATGTCGTTTTATGTTTCTATACCATAGAGCATCTTATGGTATTGAGCTTTTTCTCCTGCACAAGGCCCAATGTTGAAACTTGAGGCTTAAGTTTGTCAAGGAATTTGGGGTTCAAATAACCATAAATCTTCTTCCTCCCAATATAAACATTAGTTAGTTGTGAAATGAGGTAAGCTTGAATTTAAGAGCACCTTAAGAAAAATGCTTGAGTGTTACACCTTCTTAAGAAAGTTTGAGTGAATCCCACCATTATAGGTGAAGTATTGGTGAAGCTTGATTCTTGTAATCCATTGTTTTCATAATGGAAGTTTGACTAGTTCCATGAATTTTTTATTTTCTCATATTAAAAAAAAAAATTCACATTAAAATTTATCTGTGTTCATTTCTCTCTCTCATAATTTTATATTTCTATTGCGTATTGGCTAACCTCTCTTATTGAAGAGAGCTTTAAGCTCAACTTTTGACTTGTGTAAAAATTTCTTAGCAAAACCTTGCAGCATATAGTACATTACCATTTATAGTATAGTTCACCTTGTACTAAAATAAGAGAGTATAGTTCACCACCTTTTTCTGCGCACAAACTAAGCTAAGGGAAAAGCAAATATGATTGAAAGTGACCTTCTCGTTCCCAAAGTGAAAAATTGAAGTTTTTATATCGTATATATTATTTTAGAACATAATTATATTTATAAATTTTTTGTTTATAAATTCTTACAAATTATATTACGTATTATGAATAGTATATGGAATAAGTTATTATACTTACTATTTTTTCTGCCTACCATACTCTAACACCGTTGGTAGGCAGAGATAGACAGAAAAAATGATAAATAGAATAACTTATCTCATAGTATATACTACTTGAACACGTATTATCCATAATATATAATATAATTTGTAAAAATTTATAAATATAACCTACCTCATTATTTTATGAGAAAACAAATTCTTATCTTTTTGAAAAATAATAACTGTTTCCTGCATTCACAAAAATATATATGGATCCTACATTTTAAATTTTTTTCAGTAATCTTTTCTCTCTCCTCCCTATATTTGTTTGTTGAGGAAACGGTTAATGTTTTACATAACATAACATATTGTTTCCTCTTATTTTATACATATAATCCGATGTCAGAATTCGCTTGTACCGAAAGCAAAGAATGCCATTTTCTCAAAAGAGAAAAAAGCAAAGAATGTCATGGTCCCATTAAAATAAAATTATACAAAGATATCAATATCGTATAATTGGAGGGGGAGGGTGCTTGTGTATTGCTCCCTTGTTTTTTAATCTTTATGATGTGCCTTTATGGCCAAAGAAAATATCGAAAGTAAGGTCTCAACAACAAAAAAAAGTATATTACGATTAAACGGATCCATCAGGCACATTGACAGCTTCTCTCTAATAAAAACCGGTAAAGCCGCCACTACGGGCCCTTATCATATATTCTTCTATTTCTCTCTTAATTATTTTGATTATTAATTTTTTTTATATCAATTATAATTACTTTTTTGAGATGAATGAATTCTTCGGATATTTCTATAGGCTTCAGCTTTGTTAATTCTGAATACGGGCTTTATCTTATTACTATTTTTTTTTCGTATAACTTGAAAATATCTCTATTCAACCTCCTCCGATTACCTTGTCTTCGAGATATGACCATGTAGACTAACCCCTCATTTGAAGCATGATTTGAACACATGACTCAAACAAATCTTAGAAGCTCAATTATCAACTGAGCTACCCTTGAGAGTTTACTAATTTTTTTTATCCTATTACTTCTATTTTGTGTGGAACACGTTTTAGCTTAGAAACAAATCATAGCATAATACCATTAATGACCTTAAAATTATTTTTTGGAAATGAGCGGTTGGCTATCGTTAAAAAATGAACTATCGTGTTGTAATTATTTAATTAAAATTTAAAGTAAATCATTTTCATGACTAGTTTAAATTACAAATGGGTCCTTTTGTTTATGTTTTTTAATTAAATTTTTGTTTAAAATCTTTATAACAATTAGGAGTGAGATAAGTTTTCGGAAAAAAAAGCATAAAAAAATATTTTTAAGCATAAAAAAATATTTTTAAAAAAACAAAACGAGTAGTTTATGAGAAAAATTATGAAATAAATCTAAAAAAAATTATCTTAACATATTCATAGATAAAGTAAAGCAGTAAGCGAGTCACATTCATGAGATTATTTTCTCAAGCGAGAAATAATTAAAAAATTATAGAATCGATTGTTATCCATGCCTAAATCTCAGATAAATGAAAATTTTATTCATAAGACCAAGGTAACAGAAAAGTTTGGACATTATATAAATAATTATTAGAATAGTCTCTTATTAATAATTATTATTTACAATATCTGTGAGATTAGTCTTCTGACAATGCCTATGGATAAAGATGAAACTCTACTATTTATTTTAAATAAAATAAAATAAAATAAGTATGTCTTCAAGAAAAAATAAAAGATATAAATTTAATCAATTGTAATTATTTATAACTTAATTATATTTAATTATATTTTAATATAAATCTAACTTTATTTCTTCTTTAGGAGGAACCAACATCTTAACATGTTGGATTGTATATAAAAATATATTAAAAAGTTTTTAGCAAAGATTATATTTACTACAAGCATCATGATGTGTTTGTTGGATACATGTAGTTATTTTAATTTACATAGTATGGATTTGTTTGTTAGAACTCATGGAATATATGTTATTTAGTTTGAGCATTTTGCTTTTGAAAGTGACTTAAATGTAGATTATGGTGAGTTTTGTTGTGATTCATGATTCTATTTGGACGTTAAAATTGTGATTTTTGGTTTAGCAACAAAATTTGAGTATTTTGTGAAGTTGATTCATGATTCTACTTGAAAATTAAAAATTAACAGGGTAACGGGCTAGGCCAGATCATTTATTTTTTTTATAA